GCTTTCTATGTGTTAGCATGTGTTGTCTAGTAAAGGCATTATTTCCTGTTATAGGATAACTCCATTTAAACCCCTTTTATATGTGAGTATAGTTTAGAAAGTTCCTACAGTGGTAAGTTTCCATTTGGAATTTTCAAAGGTCTTTAGTGTAAGTTATTCCTTCTCGTACTCTTCCCTATCCTCCACTCCATTAATCCTTTCTTGTTCTATTATTCCATTCACCCCTTCTTCCCTGTTCTATCCCCCTTTCCTTGGAATCCCCACCCCATCTCCCCTTGCTAGTTCTCTGATGTCTATGGGCACTCCAACTTAAGCATACATATCTACAGATTCAAAGCTAGTGCCCACATATGAGAGAGAACATGAGGTGTTTGTCTTTCTGGGCCTGGGTTACTTCACTCAAAGTGATTGTTTCCAGTTCCAGCCATCTTACGTTTTAAATGTTTATGTATTTTTATTTTATATGTATGAATATTTTGTCTGCATGTATGTATGTGCACCATGTGTGTGCAATGCCCATGGAGGCCAGAAGGGGGAATTGGATCTCCTGTAATTAGAGTTATGGACAGTTGTTAGTTGACATGTGGGCTCTGGGGACCGAACCCAGATCTTCTGGAAGAACAGCCAGTGCTCTTAACTGCCGAACCATCTCTCCAGTCCCTAGTCATCTTATTTTTTGAGACAGTTTCTCATTGAATATGGAGCTTGCTGATTTGGCTGCTGGTCAGTAAACTCCAATAATCCTCACATCTCCACGTTCCAATTTACCCAGGCATATTGCTGCACTCAGAGTTTCATGTACGTGTTGGGGCTCTGAGCTCAGGTCCTCATTCTTGGCAAGCACTGTACCTATCAAACCATCTCCCCAGCCTTTATCATATAAATTCCAACTTGCTTGGGGTCTGCATGGCTACCTCGGTACAACTGCTGGTTGTTCATCGGACATTTGGAGTCACTGAGCACCTTCAGGAAAAGTAATGTTTCAGAATACTGGTGATTCTCAATAATCCTCCTCCTCCTCTTCTTCCTCCTCCTCCTCTTCCTCCTCCTCCTCTTCTTTTTTAATTATTATTACTGTTTTTGAGAATGAGTCTCACTATTTTGTCCAGGTTGTTCTTGAACTCTCAATTCTCCTGACTCAGTGTCTCCAGTCTGTGTTGGGATTGCAGGAATATATGTCATCATGCTTTTGATCATTGTTGATTGAGAATATTTTCACTTCTGTGAGCAGATCTGAGGCTGTGAGCAGACCTGAGGTTGTTGGCAGAAGGTGGCTTAAAAATCATATGGTTCTTCCAGCAGTTTGGAAGCAAAGGCCAAACTGGGGCTATAGGGAGACCCTGTCTCAAAAACACACACACACAAAAAAAAATCATATAGTTGTTTTATTTGAATGCTCACAGCACATGGTTTTGCTTAGGGTCAAAGAGTTGCTTCTGATGTTTGTTTTCTTCCTGGTGGATACTATAGCATGAGGTTCACCTGAGCAGTTCAGAAAACTTCTGATTTTTTTTCTGTGTTTTATTGTTTATATGACTTTAATATTTTGAACCATGCAGCAAAACAAAAAAGAATAGTAGCATTCTGGGGGTCTGGGAGATGGCTCGGTGGTCAAAATGTTGGTCAGATAGGTGTGAGCCCTGAGTTTGGATTGGATTCCCAATCTCCATGAAAAACCTGGGCCTGCTGGTACATGCCTATAACCACAGCACTGGAAAGGTAGAGACAGGAGGATTTCTGGGGTTCACTGTCCAACCAGCCTAGATGAACCCATGAGTTTCAAATTCAGGCGGATACCCCGACTCAAAAAGTAAAGCATGTACACAGGCACATATATTAAGGCAAAAGGAGTAATTCAGATATAGTGTGCATATGGAACAGTTCCTAATATTTTGTCATATTTGCTAACATTTTATGACTGAATATTCCAGAGGAAGTTAGACATATGATCTACCCTAAATGTTTAGCTATGCATCTCCTCTGCAGAGGACATTCTCTTGAGCTGCACATGGTGGCTGATGCCTATAATTCCAGGATTTGGGAGATAGAGGCAGGGGAATCAGGAGTTCAAGATCATCCTTAACTACTTAGGAAATTTGAGGCTAGCTTGCCCTGTGTGAGACCCTGACCTAAAAAACAAATGAGCAAAACAATAGTCAACAAACAACCACACAAAGGATACCCTTTTAACCAGCATACCACATGCAAACTTAAGAAGTTAACCCATCATGGAGTATTACAACTTTTCAAACTGTTCCTCAAATATCTTTTATAGCTATGCTGTGAAATCAGAGACAATGTCAGGAATCTCTTTCCACCTAGGACATTCAACTGTACCTCCTCTCTTTTATAACTTTGATTTTTTGACTAAATTACACCTGTTATAGAATGCTCTGCATTCTATATTTGCCTTTTTTTGGTGATTTTATTCCATGATAAAAGACCTACTAGCTCAGCTCTTAAACTTAGTCTTTATAAGGTCAACTAAGCACCTTTGATAAAATGATGTTTCAGCAGGGCAGATTCATTGAGAAGTAAAAGACTCAAATCCTAGCCCGGTGATTCTCTCCTGGGGAATTTTGCCTCCACATCTGGCAATGTTGAAGGCATTTTAAGGGTCAAGAAAATGTCAGGGAGGTGCTCCTGGAATTTGACAGGTACAGGCCAGGGTGCTGCTGAAATGCAGAGCCTATAATACAGATGTGTTGGTTTGAAATGCCAAGAGTGTTGAAATTGAGAAAACATCCTTTCCTTTAGGACTCCAGCATCCAGCTTGCTCAATGAACTCAGGGAAGTATCATCTTGTTTCTGCCTCTCTGGAGGATTCTTTCCAGCTGTGACCTATTAGGACAAAGGAAAGCTCTACTCCTTGCTGGCATCTCTACAGCGGGGACAAAATGGCTCAGGAATATTCCCTGCCAAAACCTTGCATTTGACTGACAGCAAGTCAGGTTCACATCCTGTCTTATCGTTAACATCCTCTTTCACAAGCTATAGATAAACTATGTTGGGGCCAAACCATACAGGACAGTTTGTCTCAGCCATGAGATAAATGGCATGTGGTTAAACAATGCACATAGTATTGCCTGTCCCTGGCAACTTTCATGATTGGTTAAAAAATAGTGAAGGAGAGGAATGAATGGGAAAGCAAAATGTCAACAGACACTGTTACTCTTGGGAAATGAGAAAAAGGGTGGTTCAGATAACAGCAAAATAGGTCATCAAAAAAAAAAAAAAAAATCACTCAGTAGGGCCGAGAGTATAGAGTAGTGGTAGAGAACACTTACCTAGCGTGATCAAGGTCCTGGGTTCAATTCCCAGCACTGAAAGAAAAGAATAAAAGAAGGAGGAGGAGGAGGAGGAAGGAGAGGGAGAAATGGAGGGGGAGACAGAATGAATGAATCACAGCCCCTGAGAACCTTGGCTCTACTTGCATATATAAACCAGCCTACAAACTGAGTTTGTGCTAGAAACTCAGCACATAAATACTTAGAATTCACTCAGGTTTTTTTGTTTGTTTGTTTTTTGTTTTGTTTTGTTTTTATCTTTTTGAGACAGGGTCTCCCTGTAGCCCCAGGTGGCCTGTAACTCACTATATAGACCAGGCTGGCCTCAAACTCACAAAGATCCATCTGCCTCTGCCTCCCAAGTGCTGGGATTAAAGGCGTGCACTACTACAACCGGCTCCCTTAACAAAATTTTTAAGTAAATATTGATCATGTTATGCTGTGTTGGTGGCTTTTTTT